CATATGTGATATTTTAGTATGATGTGTGACTTATGCTGCATTTAGTCACATTTTGGTATTTTGTGTGACTTTTGTGGTTGTTACGTGACATTTTAGTATTCTGTGTGACTCTTGGGGCCTATATGTGACATTTCAGTATTCTGTTTGACTTTTGGGGCTGTTATGTGATATTTTTACATTCTCTGTGTTATATTCTTGTTACTAGTTACATATCCTGCTATTAAGTGTTATGTTATATTTCTACAGGTATGATTATGGCATACATGCGTATTTTTTCATCAAGGCGATCCTCGAGGGAAGGGAGATAATGAACGTTGAAGCCTTGCACATGGAGTCGCATATGCTACGAGTAGGACTTGCTGCTCAACTCATATGTGAAGGGCGTGAATGAAAAAAACTACGGTTGAAATTAGACAGTGATGATCCAGAATATTTTTTTGTACTTTGGGGTAGTGATGTACCTATGATTGAGTGGAAGTATTAGACTCTACATGTAACTGTAATATTTGTTTAAACGCTATGATGTAAAGGATAACTGGTTTACTAGTTGTGTGTGACATTTGTTGGATTGTTGTGTGAGCTATATGTGAAGATATGTGACCATTAGTATGATGTGTAATGTTTGGGGCTTTTATGTGACGTTTTAGTATGGTGTGTGACTTTTGCTTCTTGTATGTGATATTTTGGTATTCTGTGTGACTTTTGAGGCTGTTATGTGATGTTTTAGTATGCTGTGTGACTTTTGCTCCTTGTATGTGATATTTTGGAGGACTTGCTGCTCAACTCATATGTGAAGGGCGTGAATGAAAAAAACTACGGTTGAAATTAGACAGTGATGATCCAGAATATTTTTTGTACTTTGGGGGTAGTGATGTACCTATGATTGAGTGGAAGTATTAGACTCTACATGTAACTGTAACATTTGTTTAAACGCTATGATGTAAAGGATAACTAGTTTACTAGTTGTGTGTGACATTTGTTGGATTGTTGTGTGAGCTATATGTAAAGATATATGACCATTAGTATGATGTGTAACGTGTAACAGACAACACATAACTATTTTGGTATGTACCATTGATTGAGTGGAAGTATTAGACAAACACATAAGTATTTCATTTGTTGGATGTTGGATGTTTACTAGCTGTTTGTAAATGATAAAATGTGCATTTGTAATTTCTTGGTGATCTTTTTTCTTTAGCATATTAAATAGAATCTAAAAGTAAAGTTCTTATTGGTATCACTGTTAATACTAACAAGTCACACGAACAGGTAATATGTCACATTTAAGTAGCAAATATCACAACAAAAGGGAAAATGTAACATGTAACAGACAACAGTCACAAAAGAGTTTGAATTCTGCCAGGAAACGTTAATCTTGGATAGGTTTAGTGCATGTGGCTTAGTTATGTCCTTCAGCGTGATATCATATCGCAAATAGGAAGTGTTCTCGCCAAACGAATCCAATTATTGTAAGATTCAGCAATATTGGAAGTGATATGACCATATCTGTGTATAAGCGACGATTATTCATCCTTTCCATAAATTTGAGTATATGGTTACGAAAATTTACAAACAGCTAGTAACTGCTTACGCGAACATAACACAATCAGCTAGTAACTGGTTACAAGAACATAACATAAATTATTGTAAGATCACCAAGAATTTACAAACAGCTAGTAACTGGTTACGAGAACATAACACAATCACACCTGTAAAAATATAACATACCACATCATACTAAAATGTTACATAACAGCCCCAAAAGTTACACAGAATATCAAAATGTCACATACAAGAAGCAAAAGTCACACAACATACTAAAATGTCACATAACAGCCTCAAAAGTCACACAGAACACCAAAATGTCACAAACAAGGAGCAAAAGTCACACAGCATACTAAAACATCACATAGCAGCCTCAAAAGTCACACAGAACACCAAAATGTCACATACAAGGAGCAAAAGTCACACAACATACTAAAACATCACATAACAGCCTTAAAAGTCACACGGAACACCAAAATGTCACATACAAGAAGCAAAAGTCACACACCATACTAAAACGTCACATAAAAGCCCCAAACATTACACATCATACTAATGGTCACATATCTTCACATATAGCTCACACAACAATCCAACAAATGTCACACACAACTAGTAAACTAGTTATCCTTTACATCATAGCGTTTAAACAAATGTTACAGTTACATGTAGAGTCTAATACTTCCACTCAATCATAGGTACATCACTACCCCCAAAGTACAAAAAATATTCTGGATCGTCACTGTCTAATTTCAACCGTAGTTTTTTTCATTCACGCCCTTCACATATGAGTTGAGCAGCAAGTCCTACTCGTAGCATATGCGACTCCATGTGCAAGGCTTCAACGTTCATTATCTCCCTTCCCTCGAGGATCGCCTTGATGAAAAAATACGTATGTATGCCATAATCATATCTGTAGAAATATAACATAACACTTAATAGCAGGATATGTAACTGGTAACAAGAATATAACATAGAGAATGTAAAAATATCACATAACAGCCCCAAAAGTCAAACAGAATACTGAAATGTCACATATAGGCCCCAAGAGTCACACAGAATACTAAAATGTCACGTAACAGCCACAAAAGTCACACAAAATACCAAAATGTGACTAAATGCAGCATAAGTCACACAGCATACTAAAATATCACATATGTCATTGGCTATTTCAAGGATAATTGAAGTTATCATAACTGACTTGTCAATATGTCATTGGCTATTTCAAGGATAATTGAATTTACGATAGCATTACGATGAGATTTTCATTTCTCAAATTTGAACAGGTCAAAAACACAGGTTTCTTTATGTATGAGTAACCAGATCAAAATAACATATGTCATATTCCAAGTGGACATATTATATGTTATATATATATATCTATCACCATTTCAACTTTGGTCAAGCTTATAGAGAAACATTAATGAACCTGACATTCTTTGAGATAATTGGTTTCAATTTTGGCTGCTGGATTCAAAAATTATATTACTACTTATTCAAGGTTAGACTTTAATGTAGCGAAATAAAGTTCAGATTTCTTATTAGGCAATTTAGCTTATCAAAACTAACAACAAACGTAAACCAACGAAAAAAGTTATAACAAATAAATACCTGTGGGGTTGATTCTCGGACCAACGACCCTTCGTGTCTCATTCATTCAACAGATGATCCAACCATCGGAGCTGATAGAACTCCTTGTCGGCTTTCCAACATACTTCGAATCACTCAAATCCGACCATCGGAGCTGATAGAACTCCTTGTCGGCTTTCCAACAGATGTTTACAAAAGGAACAATGCCCTTCGTGTCTCATTCACTCTACAGATGATCCAACCATCGGAGCTGATAGAACTCCTTGTCGGCTTTCCAACATACTTCGCATCACTCAAATCCGAGTCCGGACGAAGGAATTACAGCAGAAACAGATGAAAATACCAAAAGGAGTGTCTCGGACCAACGACCCTTCGTGTCTCATTCATTCAACAGATGATCCAACCATCGGAGCTGATAGAACTCCTTGTCGGCTTTCCAACATACTTCGAATCACTCAAATCCGAGTCCGGACGAAGGAATTACAGCAGAAACAGATGAAAATACCAAAAGGAGTGTCTCGGACCAACGACCCTTCGTGTCTCATTCATTCAACAGATGATCCAACCATCGGAGCTGATAGAACTCCTTGTCGGCTTTCCAACATACTTCGGGTGTCTCGGATCAAGTGGAGACACCCTAGGGTGTCTCCACGTGGATTTGGGCCATTTAGGTGGTTTTAACCGCTCCGCAACCCCTCAAGCCTATAAATACAAGCCTTAGTCCCTCATTTTTCAGATCTGGAATTTTGAAGATGATCGAGCACTTCAACGCAAGAGAGTTTTTCGTCAGATCTACATCACCCGTACCCGATCCTTAGTATTATCCCGTTGTGGTAATACTAAGAAGAGCAAATATCTCGCTTTTATCGAGATAGGCGCTTCAAGTTTCTAGATCTCCTCACGGATCGACGAAGCTCTGAACCAAATCTGATTGCCAGGTGGTCCACGGATATCGACGTCCCCGTCACAGGCTAAAGACCCACGCAAGCAAGAGACGACGAACGGATCTTGTGTTTATTTTCAAGAAAGTTGTAATCTTTTATTCTTTGTTGTTTGAATTCATTTGTAAAGTTTAAAGTTTAATGAAATCAATGACTAAGGCAACTTTCGACGAAAACAAACTGGCGACCACAGTGGGAGCCTGGGCTGGGGGTGGGGATGCTTGGCCCAACTTATTTTGCTTCCTCCAAGCAATTTTCCCTAAATTTTATTATGATATAAGTTTTAATTTTTTTATAAACAAATCTAATACATTTCAGTATCATATAAATTACTTCTTTGTTAATACATTGGTGTAGCGTGTGATTTATACTTGTGATGTGTTCATCCACAGCTCTTCTTGCTGCTGTGATATTTTTTTCTTACTGAAGTTAACAATCGAATTTGCAGGATCATTTCACAAGGGACAGGAAATTACCAGTATATCTCAAGTATATAGGTAGTCCTAGCCCCCTCTTACTAACCACTGCTTGCCTGGAATTGCATAATTTGTATAATATGTGGAACTATATTTTCATTACTTAAAAGAGGCTTATTCCTGGTGGTTTCCACTTCAACGTTTGGTACCAGAAGTGTATATTCATATTGCTAAAGCGGAACATTATCTTGGTTAGTAAGAAGAATAAAGTCGATGCTTTCTGGCATTGTAAAATGACTGTACAATTGGGAATATTCTTTCTTCTTCGACTACATATGCACTTTTGAAGGTAAGCATTGTAAAATGACTGTACAATTGGGAATATTCTTTCTTCTTCGACTACATATGCACTTTTGAAGGTAGTACCTTTCATCAGTTAATGGTGTTGGGAATATTCTTTCTTCTTCGACTACATATGCACTTTTGAAGGTAGTACCTTTCATCAGTTAATGGTGTTCGAAGATAATATTCGTTAAACTTGTCAGACACAGTTTCCTATGTTTTTTATGCTGTGATCTTGATTCCATTGGTTTACATAGTTGCAATGAATTTTAAAATAATATCGAACTATTGGATATGTCAGAAAATTCCTGGAAAATGCACTCTATGAACCAAATGTACTGATTAGCCGACTTCCTACCACCGCAGTCCACGAAGAAAAAGAGAGTTTCTTATTAGGATTTTATGGGACACCGCATTCATATACATGTGATTATGTCAATACGTCTGTTTTACCTTTTGAGACCAAGAAATCACCTGTTTTTAGTACAAAACTAGAATATCTGATTTCTTGTTTCTGGTTAAATGTGATTTCTATTTCCTTTGAAGATCACAAGGAATTTTTTAATTTTTAATTTTATTTTTCAATTTTGCAATATATAGAAAGAGAAAATGTGTAACAGAGCTATTCAACCCAATTGGCTCCTGTTATATTGACATGATCCTGAGATGTTCTCAAATTGTCAATTGTTATTAATAAACCCCAATTGGCTCCTGTTATATTGACATGATCCTGAGATGTTCTCAAATTGTCAATTGTTATTAATAAACCTCTACAGACGTATTGTACTGTTGAAAAGAGAAAGACGAGAATACATTTGGTATAATATAGTTGCTAAAACCTACAGTATCATAAAGTTAATTTTTATGTATTAGAGTTCTTTGCAGATCCTACCTACATGATCCGAGCCATTCCAAGCAATGCATCCGATAATGTCTACTGTACACTTCTCGCACAAAGTGCTGTCCATGGAGCCATGGCAGGGTACACAGGTTTCACAGTTGGACCCGTAAATGGCAAACATGCATACATCCCAATTTCCGTGAGTACATTTCGTCTATAACTTAGAGTTTTAAATTTATTCTCGTTGTTCCCGTATGTGAGAATTGCATATATCCCAATTTACTCGTGTATTATTATTATTATTATTATTAATATTTTTCAGAGGGTTACGGAGACTACAAATGTCGTCAAGGTAACCGACAGAATGTGGGCTAGGCTTCTCGCCTCCACAAACCAACCAAGTTTCTTTAGCAATGATGAGGAGGTGAGGGAGATGGTTGACAAGGAAACCCTTCAATTGATTGATAACATGAGGATCAACTCATTGTGAAAAAATGTGGCTTCAGCTGGTTTTAAAGGATCTCGTAGTTTGCTTCAGTTTTAAAATTATACTCGAAGAACTTGAAGATATTCCAATAAAGGGCTTCCAGTTCTCTCTTATTGTGCTTTGTAGCACTCTGATGCAATCAAAGAGTTCTTAGTTTATCTTTGTGAAATCTGATAATTTATATGATTATTTTAGTAATGAGGGTGTAATAGCTTGGAGTTTACACTGATATTGTTCAAACATTTTCTTACATATTTTCATCAATAACCACTTAAAACTGCCATTTGCATATCAGATAGCTGCTTATGGGCTCTAAATCAGATCGAGTTTCAATCAGATCGAGTTTCAATCAGATACCAATAATTTTTTATTTTTAAAATTTCTGATTCACAATCTATGTATTGTGTTGTCCTATTAAAACAACTGTCATTGTTTGAGAGAATACTCTATTAAAATTTAACTTCCTAGATTTTCGATCATATCATTTTATTTAGGGCCTGTTCGTTTGCCTTAAAAAAATGGGAAATCAAAGAAATAGAAAACTATTTCTAAGAAAAATGGGTTTTTAAATTGTTTGGTTGGCTAAAAAAAAAGGAAATCAAAGAAATGGAGATGAGATGAGATGAGTTGTCACATTATTATTGGATGATGTGAGTGATTTTTTAAGAAAACTAGTTTTGATGTTGTTCGGTTGGCGAAAAAAATAAGGAAATGAATTATAAGAAACCTATTTCCTGTAGTTTTCTTGTTTTCTTTTGTTCGGTTCATTCTTAAAAATAAGAAATGAAATGAGATGAGATGAGTTGTCATTGTATTATTGGGTGATGTGAAGAAAGATTAAGAAAAGTGTTTTCACAACTTTTTGGGATGAAAACAAAGAAATGAAATGTTAATGAGATGATGTGAATTGTTATAATATTTTATTCGATGATGTGAGTGATTTGAAATGATGAAAAGAGATGAGTTGAGTGATGTTTGGATGAAAATAATATTTTATTAGATGTGATGGATGAGTTGTTAGATGAAAATAATATTTTATTAGATGTGGTGGATGAGTTGTTAGATAAAAATAATATTTTATTAGATATGGTGGATGAGTGGTTAGATAAAAATAATATTTTATTAGAAGATGTGAATGAGTTGTTGGATGAAAATAATATTTTATTGGATGTTGTGGGTGAGTTTTAGGGATGGAAATGGAAGAAATGGATTATTTTGAAATTTCCACCTTTTCCATTTCCATTTCTTGGTTTTTAGGAAATAAACGAACAGGCCCTTAGGTTAAATACAAGTCTGAACTCTTTTAAAAGCCAAAGTTTTTTTTTTGAGAGAAAGGATGAGATACCATAAAGATATCCCAGCCAGCTAAATAACAAAAATGGTTGTTACATAATATGTACATATCCCCAACCTAGGATATGTATCTTTGTTCAAAATTAACTACATACCACTGATACATATATCCCAAGCTCTAACCACAAGTTAGAGAATAGCCCAAGACTAACTGTAAAAACACAAAAAAACAGCATAGAAACTACTAAATGTATCAAAAAACAGCTATCCCAAATATTTTTATCCACAGGGATCATTCCAGCTGAATAACCCCCCCAGAGCTTCTGTCATCATCTCCAGCAGCAGCCTTGAATCCCGCATCAAGCCTCATATCAGCCATTTTCTTCTTCCTCCTTTCCTACAGTCTTGTGGTTCTGGCAGATTCCTTTTTCATACCTAGCCATAAATTTGAGAAAATCATGATTTTGTGTAAAATCATAATATAATTCCTCCTCTTGTTAGAAAACAATCTATCATTGCGTTCTTGCCAAATACACTAAACAAGATAGCAGATAGTAATATCTCTTTTCAATCTAGAATCCCCAAGAGAATTACTGTTCCATTTCAGCCACAGATTTTTAAGAGACCCCAACTTGAAATCCTCTTCAGTTTGTAGATTGCATTGAATTAATTTCCAAATAGATTGGACAAACTCACAATTAAGAAAAATATGATTATGGTTTTCAGTCACCTTAGAGCATAAACAACAGATTTTGTCTAAATATACTCCCTTTTTTTCCAATACATCTTTTGTGTTCAGACTTTGTCTAATAGCCAGCCAAACTAAAAATTTGACTTTCAGGGGAATAGGAAGCTCCCATATCTTTGCACAATCATATCTTAGACCCCCATCAATAAGAAAATGATAAAAGGATCTTACTGAAAATGATTTTTTTTTCTCCCATAACCATTTTCTCTTATCTTCCCCATCTGATAAACTTTTCAAATTAAGAATATCCAACAGTTTAAAAAACTGAAGAACAAGATCCCCAGTCAACTGTCTTTTGAATTGAAGAACCCATCTCCATACATTATCTTCTTTGATTCTCAAGCTACAAACAATAGCATAAGGAGATGAAGAAAGTTTAAACAAGGATGGAAAAAGAGAAGCAAGAGTAGATGAACCTAACCATTTATCAAGCCAAAAAAGGGTAAATTTTCCATTTCCCACATCCACTTGAGTACTGCAATGAACCTAACCATTTATCAAGCCAAAAAAGGGTAAATTTTCCATTTCCCACATCCACTTGAGTACTGCAAAGAAAGCTGTCAATATTAGTCCTTTTCCATTTCCCACATCCACTTGAGTACTGCAAAGAAAGCTGTCAATATTAGTCCAGAAGCCTTTCCAAAACCAAGATAGATGTATTTTACCCGAATGAAGATATTCAGTCCATGATTTTCTTTCAAAAAATTTATGGTGACTGATTTGTTTCCAAAGCTCATGATTACCATTAAACCATTTCCAAAGCCATTTACCTAAAAGAGCTTTATTCATCACTTTTAAATTTTTAATCCCCAAACCACCATAATGTTTTGGTCTACAAATCTCTTCCCATTTACAGATTAGTGCACCCTTTATGCTCCAAAGATCCAGTCCATAAAAATCTTCTCCTCATAAAATCAATTTTTTCAATAACCCAAACTGGGAATAAGAAAAAAGACAGCCAGAAAATTGGCATAGAAGAGAGAACTGAGTTAATCAAAACCAGTCTTCCTCCTCTTGATAAAGATCTACCTTTCCAAATAGCTAATCTTTTCTCAATTTTCTCAATCAAAGGAAACCAGTCATCTCTTTTCAATTTTCCTGGTCTTAAAGGAATTCCAAGATAGGTAATGGGAAAAATACCACACTTACAATTCATCATACATACCAAATTCTGCTGTAAAATCTCATTTTCTTCAAGAGCAATGAGAACACTTTTGTTAAAACTTATTTTTAAACCTGATGCTAGTTCAAAGCAATATAAAATCAGCTTCAACACAGTCAAATGTTCTTTTTTATTTTTACAAAAAATCAAAGTATCATCAGCATATTGTAAGCAAAAAACTTTAGGACTCAAATTTTCAGGATCTAATCCTTCAATTAGCTGAGCATCAACAGCTAATTTCAACATCTTAGTAAAAGAATCAGCTGCCAAAACAAATAGAAGAGGTGACAAAGGATCTCTTTGACGAACACCCCTTTTAGACATAATCCAATTACCAGGTTTACCATTTATGTTGATGGCAGATAAACCATCTTTCAAACATAAAGTCACCCAATTAATCCACTTAAAACCAATTTTTTTTGCTTTCAAGACTTCTAAAATAAAATTCCAGTCTAACAAATCATATGCTTTTTCAAAGTCTAATTTTAATAAAATCCCTCCTTTTTTGTTATTCTAGAAACAATTATTGATAATTTCTTGAGCTGCCACAACTCCATCTAGCAAAAATCTATCTTTAATAAAACCAGATTGCAAAGGGTCTATAAGCATCTCCAACTTAGTATTCAGTTTGTTAGTCAAGACTTTAGTAATCACTTTATAAATCACATTTAACAAACTGATGGGCCTGTAATCATTAATAGAATTAGCCCCATTCTTTTTTGGAATAAGGACAATATGAGCATAATTAAATCTGTTGATTTCTAAGATGCCCTCATGAAATTCTACAAATAATTTAAAAGCCAAAGTTAGACCCTCCTCTTCTCATCCCATGGCCGTAGACTATGGAATGTTATGTATATGTACTGTTATCCTTTTGTGCTCTTTTATTTTCCATGCTATAAACAGAAAATTCCAAATTTCCTTTCAACACTATCTCACTATAGAGATGAAACCGTTCAAGAGAAATGTGTCTTCGATGTACTTAAATTGAGCTTGATTTCTTTGCTTTCCAGCTATCTCATTTCAGATCCTGAACCAGTAACTGTATGAATGCATGCATAGAAAACGGCCCCTTTGTCTCTCCTCTACCCACCCCAATCCAATAGCCCATTTTCTTTAGAAAGTTGGATTTTTTTTTTTTTTTTGTTCACAAGTGATTGCTACTGCAAGGGGCTTAATCTATGGATTCTTTGACGAACACTGGTCATTTCCATATAGTCAATGGGACGGCCGTTTTATTTTTAATTTCTTATTGAGGATTAGTTCTTGGTTAATACAAGGATTAGTTCTTTGTTAATACAAAATCCATAGGGCAAAGTCCAAACAATCCCAGCTTCCTTGAATTGCCCATATTCCTTTCTTTTATCCTTCACTTTCATACACCTTGAGTGCCTGTTGCAATTTTATTGAATGGAGAAAGAACGATGGCCGGCTAGGAGATTTGGATCTACCTCAGTAGATGAAGAAGTTTTGCACCAGTCACTCTCTCGTTCCTCTCATGTCAAGTGCTCCATTATTGCAAAGCAAAGCGATGTGCTATTTATGATGGAGCATTTTCATTTGTTCTCACATGACATACCCGTTCCTTTCGTCCTCTATAATCCGAAGTTCTCCATCAATGGAAACTTACCAATCTGTTTTCGTAGCATTGCATCTGATGCTATTATCATTAACCTCATCATCGGCAGTGAAGCATAACAATATGTCCGACCTCTCGACGCTCCTGACCATCAAAGCCTGGGTCATGGGCCATGATCCAGGCAACATTGTGTCCACCAACTGGACCACTGATGCCTCCTTTTGCACCTGGATGGGCGTTTCATGCAGTCGTCGAAGGCAGAGAGTCACTTCTCTCAACATAAGCAGCACACCTCTCTACAGCATCATCCCTCCTCACATCGCCAACCTTTCGTTTCTGTCGGAGCTCGTTCTTTCCAACAATGGCCTAGTTGGACCCCTTCCTGAATCTTTGGCTCGGCTGCCTCGGCTGAAATATCTCCAACTTGATAGCAATCAACTTTCAGGTTCAATACCTCTTGCCTTTTTCAACATGTCATCGCTTACAGAGTTGATTCTCGCTAGCAACAACATTACAGGGACCCTGCCCTCTAATGATACTAGTTTTCGTCCGCTGTTCCCTGAGTATTTGTATATATTTGAAAACCAACTCACTGGCAGCATCCCGTCCAGCCTTTTCCTTGCTCCTACTCTTCGGGAGCTTAGCTTGGATGAGAACCAGTTAAGTGGAGACATACCGCCTGAGATTGGAAATATGAAGCATCTTACTCTCCTGTACCTTGGTGATAACAATCTAACGGGCACAATACCAATATGAAGCATCTTACTCTCCTGTACCTTGGTGATAACAATCTAACGGGCACAATACCATCCTCTTTGGGCAACCTTACTAATCTAGTTGACGTACCTTGGTGATAACAATCTAACGGGCACAATACCATCCTCTTTGGGCAACCTTACTAATCTAGTTGACGTAAGCCTTTCCAGCAACAGCTTCCATGGAAATATTCCTGAGGAGTTGGGTCGTCTTACAAGCCTTAAAAGATTGCAGATTAATTACTGTGGTGGCATTACTGGTTCTATACCGGTTTCCCTTTCTAATATGTCATCGCTCCAAGTCATGGACCTTGAGAACAACAGCCTTGATGGACCGGTGCGTTTGCAATTTGGGACTATGCCTCTTCTTAAATCCTTGTTGTTACCCGATAACAGACTAACCGGAGGATTGGACTTCCTCGCATCACTGTCAAACTGCAGAGCTTTAGAATTTGTGGAAGTTATGACAAATGAGCTGGATGGCATTCTACCAAATACCATAGGTAATCTCTCGAGGAACCTAGCATACTTTAATATTGAGGAAAATCATATTAAGGGGAAAATTCGTGCTGAGTTGGGTAACCTGTCTAGATTGGTTCAGCTATTCTTGGGAGAGAATGAGCTAGTTGGAACGATACCGTTGGAAATCACAACTCTAGAAGGCCTGCAGAGGCTAACACTGACTAGTAACGGTATATACGGTTCCATCCCAAATGAACTCGGCCGATTAAGAAACTTGGAAGAACTGTACCTTGACGAAAATAGTCTTTCTGGATCCATACCTGACTCTATTGGAAATATCACTGGGCTAGACCAATTGTCGCTTGGTGCTAACAGATTATCTTCAACAATCCCTGAAAGTGTTTGGGGTCTGACTCGTCTACTTTACTTAAATCTGTCACAGAATCTTCTCTCTGGATTTCTACCTTCAGCATTGTGGAATATTAAGGACTTGAACACATTTGACGTGTCAAGAAATCGGCTATCGGGTAACCTTCCAAGCGCTTTAAAGTATCTCGAAATCAATACGTTGTACCTATCAAATAACTCATTTGATGGCCACATTCCTGAATCATTTGGGGATCTTTTTAATCTCGAGGGTTTGGACCTTTCTTGCAATAACCTCTCAGGTTTCATACCCGAGTCCTTGGTCAATCTCCAACACCTCAACATCCTAAACTTATCTTTCAACATGTTGGAAGGAAAGGTTCCAAATGTTGGTGCCTTTATGAATGTCAGCATCGTGTCTTTGGAAGGAAATGCGGCATTATGTGGAGCACCCAGATTTGGCTTTCCATCTTGCAACATAACTGATTCGACAGTTTCTAATTCAGGGAGGCATTTGTTACGATATATCCTCCCTGCTATTGCTTCTACGGGAATCCTTGTTCTCTGTTTTTGCATCCTATTAGGATTACGTAGAAGGAGAGCCAAGAATCCGACCCCAAGTAGCACGCTCTCTCCTACTAAGCATAGATTGATCCCCTACTACGAGCTTGTTCGTGCCACTGACAACTTCAGCGAGATAAACTTACTCGGAAGGGGTGCATTTGGTTCTGTGTACAGAGGGCTTTTAGATGACGGCCTTCTTGTTGCCATCAAGGTCTTGAATATGCAAATCGATGGAGCTTCAAGGAGTTTTGATGCTGAGTGTCGTGCTTTGAGGATGGTTCGCCACAGAAATCTGGTTAGAATCATCAGTGCTTGTTCCAACTTGGATTTCAAGGCACTCGTCCTCCAATTCATGCCCAATGGCAGCCTCGAAAGATGGCTCTACTCCCATAACTACTCCTTGAGTTTACTTCAAAGGATTAACATAGCCATCGATGTTGCTTCAGCTATTGAGTACCTCCATCATCACCATTCTCAGGTTGTGCTGCATTGTGATCTGAAGCCGACCAACATTCTTCTTGATGAAGAAATGACCGCACATGTCAGCGACTTTGGCATTGCAAGACTACTGAGTGGTGATAACCAGAGTGTAACCTCAGCGAGCACGCCGGGGACAGTTGGTTATATTGCCCCAGGTAAATAAATTTATAAGCTTTCGCCTAAAATCTAGTCCAATCACATGCAATCTATACTAACGTTTGAGTTTGCTGTGTAGAGTTTGCTTCAACAGGAAGAGTCTCCACAAAGGGAGATGTCTATAGCTTTGGAATATTGTTGCTAGAAATCTTTACGAGAAAGAAGCCTATTGATCCCATGTTTACTGGGGAATCAAACTTGCGACGATGGGTAAATGATGCACATCCTGCCAGCCTGTTTGATATAGCGGACTGCAACCTCTTGAGAGATGAGGATGGAAATGAAAGGCCGAGGAGCGACTTGATTTCAATGCAGGCTTGTCTATCATCTATCATGGAGTTGGGGATTATCTGTTCAAGTGACTCACCTAGAGAAAGGCTTCCTATGAAGGAAGTCGTCCCAAAGTTGCGGAAGATCAAGATGGAGTATTTGTCAGTGTATTGAGTTGTTTGAAACATGACTGTAACATGTTATGGATGCACTACTTATCACTATGTTTGGGAGTTTGGTAATGAAGGGGAAGGAAAAGGAAGGGAGTGTAAAATAGGACAAGGGATGGTTTCCTTTTATGAGAAGCATTTTATGCATTTTTTTGTTTACTAGATTTTGCAGATAACAGACGAGCTTCCATTTAGTTTCTCTCACTTTGCTGTAGGTAGGCGTCCAGAATGAGCTTACTTCCACTGGACAAATAGTTCACGATCTGCTTAAAGCTTGATTGGGCAGCAAGCCTTAACATTTTATTCCAGCGTTTGTTTTTTATTTAAAAAAAATTAATTTAAATATAATTTTAAAAATATGAATACCAAGTTAACATAGTTTAAAAATGAAGAAAAATAAAAGAAGGTCGAAAAAACCTATGGGTCGACCCATGAGCTGTGAGCCGTGCCGGGCCCGCCCCACCCCTAGGCGGGTCATACGCCGGTCTTGGTCCAATTCCAAATTTGGGATCAGAGAAGCAGGCCCGTATGTCCCATTCTGACCATCGTGGACCCGGGTTAGACCTGGCCCCCCTTGAACCCCACAGGTTGGGTCACAGGCCTGAACTGGCCCACACCCACACCTAGACAGGAATGTGTGAAGTCAAAGTAATCGGTGGTGGTAACTGGATGAGGGAGGGGTCAAGAGTTGAAGAAATCGGTTGTTGCCTTTCACTTCCACAAGCCTGCAAGACTTTTCTCAACGGATGAAGCCATGCGCCAGTTGCTACCTCATCCTCTTTCTCTCGGCATCCATCCCCCAATTTTCTCCATAACCTTCACCGATGGAAACCTACAAATTTGTCTTCGTAGCTCTGACGCTCCTATTTTTCACCTCAACATCGGCGGCGAAGCATGACAACACGACCGACCTCTCGGCGCTCCTGGCTATCAAAGCCAGGGTCATCGAGCATGATCCAGGCAGCTCTCTGTCCGCCAACTGGACCACCGACGCATCCTTTTGCACCTGGATGGGCGTCTCGTGCAGCCGTCGAAGGCAAAGAGTAACTTCTCTTAATATCAGTGACACACAGCTCTATGGCACCATCCCTCCTCACATCGCCAACCTTTCATTCCTGTCGGAGCTCATCCTTTCCAACGACGGCCTGGTCGGACCCCTTCCTGAATCCCTGGCTCGGCTGCCTCGACTACAATACCTCCAGCTTGATAGCAACCAGCTTTCAGGTTCAATACCCCTCGCCTTTTTCAACATGTCATTGCTTTCCGAGTTGATTCTCGCTAGCAACAGCATTACGGGGACCCTGCCCCCCAACTATACTAGTTTTCGTCCGTTGTTCCCCGAGTATTTGTATGTATTTGACAACCAGCTCACTGGCAGCATCCCGCCCAGCCTTTTCCTTGCTCCTACCCTTCGGGAGCTTAGCTTGGCTGCGAACCAGTTAAGTGGAGACATACCGCCCGAGATTGGAAATATGAAGCATCTTACTCTCCTGTACCTTGGTGATAACAATCTAACGGGCACAATACCATCCTCTTTGGGCAACCTTACTAATCTAGTTGACCTGAGCCTTTCCAGCAACAGCTTCCATGGAAATATTCCTGAGGAGTTGGGTCGTCTTACAAACCTTAAAAGATTGCAGTTTGGTAACTGTGGTGGTATTACTGGTTCTATACCGGTTTCCCTTTCTAATATGTCATCGCTCCGAATCATGGACCTTGAGAACAATAGCCTTGATGGACCGGTGCGTTTGCAATTTGGGACTATGCCTCTTCTTATATCCTTGTTGTTACCCGGAAACAGACTAACCGGAGGGTTGGACTTCCTCGCATCACTGTCAAACTGCAGAGCTTTAGATTTTGTGGAAGTTAGCGCAAATGAGCTGGATGGCATTCTACCAAATACCGTAGGTAATCTCTCGAGGAACCTAGCATTCTTTAGAGATTAGTTGAGCTTATCTTGACAGAGAATGAGCTAGTTGGAAAGATACCGTTGGAAATCACAACTCTAGAAGGTCTGCAGAGGCTAACACTGACTAGTAACGGTATATACGGTTCCATCCCAAATGAACTTGGTCGATTAAGAAACTTGAAACAACTGTACCTCGACAGCAACAGTCTTTCTGGATCCATACCTGACTCTATTGGAAATATCACCGGACTAGACCAATTGACGCTTAGTGCAAACAGATTATCTTCAACAATTCCTGAAAGTGTTTGGGGTCTGACTCGTCTACTCTACTTAAATCTGTCACAGAACCTTCTCTCTGGATTTCTACCTTCAGCATTGTGGAATATTAAGGACTTGAACACATTTGACGTGTCAAGAAATCGGCTATCGGGTAACCTTCCAAGCGCTTTAAAGTATCTCGAAATCAATACGTTGTACCTATCAAATAACTCATTTGATGGCCACATTCCTGAATCATTTGGGGATCTTTTTAATCTCGAGGGTTTGGACCTTTCTTGCAATAACCTCTCAGGTTTCATACCCGAGTCCTTGGTCAATCTCCGACACCTCAGAATCCTAAACTTATCTTTCAACATGTTGGAAGGAAAGGTTCCAAATGTTGGTGCCTTTATGAATGCCAGCATCGTGTCTCTGGAAGGAAATGCGGCATTATGTGGAGCACCCAGATTTGGCTTTCCATCTTGCAACATAAATGATTCCACAGTTTCTAATTCATGGAGGCATTTGTTACGATATATCCTCCCTGCTATTGCTTCTACCAAAGGGGAGGGGGGGAGATCTGGAAGTTTGGCGGGCTGGGACAGCGGGAAAAAGAGTTCGCGCGGGGGAAAAAAATTGCAGCGGGAAAAATCCCGCGCTCTCGCTCAACGCGCGCGTGGGCGGCTCGCCTGCTCGTGGGCAGACGCCCACGTGGGTGAGCCCCCACCCCTTGATTACACTCCCTGCTATTGCTTCTACGGGAATCCTTGTTCTCTGTTTTTGCATCCTATTAGGATTACGTAGGAGGAGAGCCAAGAATCCGACCCCAAGTAGCACGCTCTCTCCTACCAAGCATAGATTGACCCCCTACTACGAGCTTGTTCGTGCCACTGACAACTTCAGCGAGATAAACTTACTCGGAAGGGGTGCATTTGGTTCTGTGTACAGAGGGCTTTTAGATGACGGCCTTCTTGTTGCCATCAAGGTCTTGAATATGCAAATCGATGGAGCTTCAAGGAGTTTTGATGCTGAGTGTTGTGCTTTGAGGATGGTTCGCCACAGAAATCTTGTTAGAATCATCAGTTCTTGTTCCAACTTGGATTTCAAGGCACTCGTCCTCCAATTCATGCCCAATGGCAGCCTAGAAAGATGGCTCTACTCCCATAACTACTCCTTGAGTTTACTTCAAAGGATTAACATAGCCATCGATGTTGCTTCAGCTATTGAGTACCTCCATCATCACCATTCTCAGGTTGTGCTGCATTGTGATCTGAAGCCGACCAACATTCTTCTTGATGAAGAAATGACCGCACATGTCAGCGACTTTGGCATTGCAAGACTACTGAGTGGTGATAACCAGAGTGTAACCTCAGCGAGCACGCCGGGGACAATTGGTTATATTGCCCCAGGTAAATAAATTTACAGGCTTTCGCCTAAAATCTAGTCCAATCACGTGCAATCTGTACTAACGTTTGAGTTTGCGGTGTAGAGTTTGCTTCAACAGGAAGAGTCTCCACAAAGGGAGATGTCTATAGCTTTGGAATATTGTTGCTAGAAATCTTTACGAGAAAGAAGCCTACTGATCCTATGTTTACCGGGGAATCAAGCTTGCGACGATGGGTAAGTGATGCACATCCTGCCGGCTTGTTTGATATAGTGGACCGCAACCTCTTGAGAGATGAGGATGGAAATGAAAGGCCGAGGAGCGACTTAGCTTCAATGCAGGCTTGTCTATCTTCTATCATGGAGTTGGGGATCGTCTGTTCAAGTGACTCACCTAGAGAAAGGCTTCCTATGAAGGAAGTCGTCCCAAAGTTGCAGAAGATCGAGATGGAGTATTTGTCAGTGTATTGAGTTGTTTGAAACATGATTGTAACATGTTATGGATGTACTTATCACTATGTTTGGGAGTTTAGTAATGAAGGGGAAGGAAAAGGGAGGGAGTGTGAAATAGGACAAGGGATGGTTTCCTTTTATGAGAAGCATTTTATACAGTTTTTATTTACTAGATTATGTAGATAACACTATGTTTGGGAGTTTAGTAATGAAGGGGAAGGAAAAGGGAGGGAGTGTGAAATAGGACAAGGGATGGTCTCCTTTTATGAGAAGCATTTTATGCAGTTTTTATTTACTAGATTATGTAGATAACAAATGAGCTTACTTCCACTGGACACGTAGTCCTCGATCTGCTTAAAGCTTGATTGGGTAGCAACCCTTAACATTTTTATTCCAGCGTTTGTTTTTATTTTAGCTTTCCAATAAATTAATAGCTTTTGTCATGACATTGTGCAAAATTCAACAGGTTTAAAGCAATAGTTTCTCTTCGCTCAGTGTCCCTTAATTCCCCGGCCAAATCGATTCCCATATCCATAGTTGCTAACAGGTTGTTTTAAGGGAGAGTTTTTGTGAGTCTTCAACAAATGATATTAAATTAACTATTTTCTGTTTCAATTTATATTACATTTTATTTAAAGGTATGCTGGATGTTTGTAGTGGATGTTGCGCGCCTATGCGGACGCGTGCTCGCACACCAAACGAATCTGTGATCACGGGAGAAGAGAACTAACCATACACGAGCACAATTCAATCCAAATACGACAAATCAAACCAAACACAGAGATATACGTGGTTCGGCAATTTGCCTACGTCCACTGGGAGAGGATGGAGAGATTCCACTAAATCAATGAGAGTACAAAGAGTTACAATCTCACAAAATCACTCACACAAACACTAAACTAAATCTCTCAACTTGCTCACAAGTTCTCCATCTCAATATGCTCAGTACAATCTAAAATCTCAGTTTAGAAACCCTAGAAAATCGTGTTTCAATTTATATCAAAATACAAACCCAATGCGAACAGGAAACCAAATTCAGGCCCAGCCCGACTCGTGGTCGACCGCAGAGACACGTGCGGTCGACCGGACAGAACGACAGAAAC